AAGGCTGGCATAGTCTCAGCTTCCTACGGACAGCATGCGTCTCCTTTCCCCATTTTTCCACTTTTTGTTTAAACTTGAATGGCGCCTAAACGTTTTTGTAACGCTGTTTTTCCCTATCCAACGTAGTTACGGTCTGTCAGCCTTTAATTTTGCCACTTAATTGAATTATGTATGCATCGAATCGAAGTCTTGGTAAAATGGGAAAAAAATACTAGTAGGGATGCGCAAAATTCAGTCAGGTGCTAGATCAGTAAGCGAATTTGATAAATTGTGTTGAAAAACTAAAGCAGGTGCAAAATTGGCGTCTCTCCCTCCTTGGCCACTAGCGAGACTAAAAGGACCTTTGTCGTTTAAGTTCTTTTTGCCCTGTGTACATCGCTTCGCATTTGACAGTGACAGTATAAATCTAAAAGTGCTAAATCTACCTGGCTGATGTCCAGCTTCTTCAGTGTCAGCATTCCAGCAGTCATTCATCAGCAGTGGTACATCTTGTATGATATCATCGGGCACTGCGGGAATAATCGGAGTGTGTGAGTTAGCTCTGCTCGAATTCCAAATAGCTGCTCATGCGGCAATCTGCGAGAGTAATCAATGTGCCCGTTTGATGAGAATAATGATATTAATGACCGCGGCGAAGCGTGGAATAAGCTGGTGCGCTGTTCTGATATGATCAGCTTGGGAAAGCTTCGCTGTGTGCGGCATTGCTCTGTCCATTTTCCACACTGATGCGGTAAAGTTTCAGGAGAGGGAGGGAAAAGCTGTTATCGCATCAGTTTGGTTTCATTGCAATACCGCCGCCACAGCTTTGCCTCCCATCCCAAAAAAAAATTTTTTTCTGAATTCTTTAGCGCTGTACTTTGAGCCAGCAGCTATTCGTGATAATGCAGCTTCGGGATTGTTCTACCGTCTATTGCTGCGATATCGTCCGACCGCCTTTTTTGGCTGCAGACGGACCTCCCCCTCCCTCCTGGCGTCTTCTAGAAATTGGTCAGCTTCAAGTTCTTCCCTTTACCCTTCCGCTGGTGCTGCCGCTTATTTATTGCCTCCTACCGTTGCGTCAAGAGTAGTCCTCTGCCACAATCATGTGCTCTGCAGTTATCTTTCATCTGAGTAGTGATGGAATATGCAAGACAGCCAGCGCAGATCGAACGATTCATGGCCAGCTGTATTCGTGCAAGCATTTTCGGGATTGCCCGTCGCTGGAGTACGGTGCAGGCTGCTGTAAAGGACAGAAAGCCGGCGAATACGTGACGGTTTGCGAATGATTCTCGCTGCGATAGGATGGGAGGATGGTGTTTTTGGAAACTGCTGTCATCAGGACGTCTGCTTTTGCGGTTCTTGAAAATTGCAGCTTTTGAAAACTAGGGATTGAAGACGGTCGTTGGCTAATAAGCTGCAAGAAGCATTGATGGTTGGCTGTAAGCGCAGTACAACAATTTGTTGGGTGCTTCTGGCGGTAGCGCGCTCTTGCTTCTGTCCCATTCCGACTGCTGCTTGATTCATCCTGATTGAACGAAAAAAAAAGCCACCGTGCACAATAATGGCCAAAATGTTGCCATTTTTGTTGCTTTTTGCTATTTTAGCTAAGCTTCAGGAAGGTGCCGGGGCGGCTTTTTGTTCTGAGCAGGAGAGTTACCGTATACCACGGTCTCGCCCAGCGTCGTGTATCGTACAATTTACCGCTTAACAAGCCTCGTCTTTTCTGCTCATTTGAACAAGCGTCTCTCCTTTCCTTACTCCAGTGATCGCTGATGCTGTTGCTTTGAAACTTTCCACGAATTCGGGTAGGAACAGTGGTTGAAGTAAGCGGAGCTGAAGTCATGCTGCTGTAATACTGCGGTAGCTGCTTTACTGTTCCATCCTGCAGCATCTGGTCATGCCAAAATCTTGTTCGTCCGAAGTTATCATTCCACAGAAGTGAATTCGCACAGTTGAAAGCTTCAAGCGTTTTAATTAGTCCGTTTGGCACTGCCACTACGTTTGGATGGTATCGTCAAGTAGGATATCAGAAATTGGATATTCGCTTTTGCGGGAATAGCATCCAGCGAAACTGTTGTTCGATATATCCGGAATACCAGCTTTGTTAGCTCTACAACAATAAGGCAGGAGCTATGCACGTGAAATGAATCAAACGTTGACCTGTAGCAGCAGTCAT